TTGTACCAGTTTTGCTATTAAAGGCAGACTGATGTTTTACGTGTAAGGCAGAATTCTAGGCACTCTCACTCAAATCGGGTAGCAAGATCTGAAGGTGTAGCTCACGCACCCGATTGGACTGGTCACCTGATCTACCAAATGCAACAGGCTTGGTGACCTTTGAAAACACTCCCAACTGGGTAAGGGAGAAAGGCTCTTAGAATTCTCTTACGGGGAGTGTTACAAACCATGCTTAGTGTTAGACCAAAGCTGTGCACCTCCTGGGAGCTCAGAAAGCACATATGAATGACAGAGAACAGGGCTGATGGTGGCTTACGTAGACTGAGGAGTCAGCAAGCCACAGGCCACATCCACTGTCTACAAACAGCGTACAGACTAGGTTCCTGGTGGTTAGTAAAGGATTAGTAAAGACCTCTTAGACTACAAGAGAAAAAGCATCGTCTAGAGCTGGGAAAGCAGCCCCAGAGCGGCTTGTGCACACACGGCCCACAGGGGTTTGCAAATAACGTGTGCACATTCATCAAAGTCTGTACACCATGGAAAGTGATCAGGGATACACAGTCATACTTGCGAGTTTCTTTTGAATTGAACGATGTCTTTTAGTAGTTGCTGTAAAGTTGTACTGACTTTATAAAACCTGAGGACTTAAGGGGAGCATCGTATTCTTGTAATTTGAGGAACTTCACCAAGCCACTACCCACTTGACTAAAATGCCACGTGGATTTTAGGTTCAGGGCCAGCTTCTCTGAGAGATGAATAATCTTTCAAATTTGAATCTGCTAACCAAGCTGAGGAAGTGGCAACAAACGTCTTCATGCGAGGCTCGCTGCAGGGTTCCTTAAAGAAGGAACTCCCCAAGCTCCTGTATTTGTTCATAGAACAATTATTTGAGAGAGAGGGGCTGAAAACCCAGAAGAACCAAGAATTAATGAGTACTAAGCTGAAACAAAGACAAAACATTGCTTAAGCAAGGCTGAATTTGAGGGGGATAAGGAATTTGATTTTTATGCTCTTCTGAAAAAGTCACTTGAATGTGGCTTTGCAATACTGTGATAACTTATTCAGATAAGGCCATGTTTAAAGCCACAGAATTTCACATTGTCGCAAATGACCAGAAAGCCTGCAAACAGCTGCTCCATCTTGCATTCCATGCCTAACCTCTCCCCACTCCAACCTGGAGACAGGGCTTCAGTCACCACGTCCGAGGGAGAAAACTGTTTTGGTTTTAAAGCGTCTAGTGGAGCTTGAGAAAGAGCATGGAAAAGCATGACCTCTGTGCCGGCATTAACATCAACTTTGGCATATAATTCTGGGAAAATTTCATACCTAGTGTCTTATTACTGCGTGAAATCAATTTTATATGTGCTTCCAAAACTGCATGCAAATAATATAGGCACAATAGGTATCTCAGATACAGTCAACGCTGCTGTGGGGCTTCCCCCGGCAAACCAACACACTTGTTGAAGAACTTTCGGCACCCACTCTTGCTCCACCTGGAGCTGCTTTACACTCCCGCTTCACAGGGCTCTAACCAGATGGACCTCCACCCACAGCAGACTCGCTCGTTTTCCACGGGTCCCTGTGCAGTTGTGGGGATCCCATTCAGGAGACCCTTTTTCTCCAACCACCTCCTTCCGCTACCCTTCCTCTTGATCACCTCCCCTTTCCTTATTTGCCCTTAAACAGAGCTACAAACTAGTGAAGTTTGTGCTGATCCCGAGAGCTGGGGAGTAAAAGATACAAGGGAAGCGGACTACTTGCTGTTAGGGGCCACCAACTCTTTGGGCCCCTTACCTGTGCTTTGTTTTTAATTGTGGTCCACAGACCAGACAAAATACAATAGGCTTAGTGACCACTGCAAATCTCTTTGTATGTTATTGAAAATTCAAATACTGAGAGGGGAAAAAAACTGGAGAAGGGGAGGATAACGGGATGGATTCTTTGTGTTACTTCTGTTATTCTAATCATGTAATGTGCTCTCCTAAACTACATTTCTTTGGGAGAGGGGTTCCCTCTTCTTTTACCTGCATCTAGTCATAAATGAAATAAGAATCCACTACTCTCTAACAAACCTAGGCTGCTTTTTTTTTTAAATAACAATACAATCTAAACACAAATCCGAGTATTTCATGTAGCCAACCTTAGAAATTACATCTGGTGACTGTGCTCAATAAAAGCACAGCTATTTCTATTTGTTCAAAGAGGTGAAATATTTTAGAAAACTAAATGAAAAACATCCGAGGAAGTCATGAGGTAGATTCTACCATTTCAGTCAAATTCCAAATTCCATTTGTTCTCTGTGGTGATTAAATATCCAGGAATGTGATGCTCATGGATACCCCACACCCTCTGCGATTCTTACACTGCATTCCATAAATCTCACAGAAATAGAAGCAAATAGAGTTTCAAACACTCTCTGTAGGTTTTCCTCTTCACTGTAAATTTTTTTGGGTTCTCTCTGAGTCATGACATTAAACTTCTCCCAGAACACCCTGAGCAGACAGATTTAAATTATTTCCGAACAGGAAGTGGAGGCAAGCACTGCAGAACTTACAAACTTACACCCTACACGCTCAGAACTCAAACCAAACAGACAAAGACCTCTCGAAACTCAGATCTGGTTCTTAGACTTTTGAAGGCGTAGCCAAAGTAAACAATGGCGTCTCCATTTTGTCTCCTCCACATCAGTCTTAGCAATTATTTTTATTCAATAATATGATGTTAACTCAGAAACTAAAGACAAAGGACACAAGAATTTGAAGGGCTTAAATATATTTTTTATATTGATAGTCTGTGTCTTTCTACCCTAAAATAATACATTATTATCGATTACATACAGGATGAGGTGAGGTATCTGTAAATATCTGGTAAAAAATAATTAATATACAGTATTCTACATGAGATGGAATCTGACGAACCTTCAGGTCTTCTGAGGTCTTAAATCGATCATCTAAATCAAACTGCCCTGAATGGACTTACAGTTGTTCCCTCGAACCACGTTAAAAAAGGATGGATCTCACATTTTCCCAGAACTTGTGCAGAAAAGGGAAAAGACATAATCGGTAATTTCTATTTCTCACATCCAAAGTAATGCATTCATACAAAATCAGGAACTCCAAGTTTAGCATAAAAAGAAAAAAAAATTACTGGATTAGAGAGAGAAAATCTCTGAATAGCAGTTAGGCTAATTTACCAACACCAAAGAAATTCAAGTGGTCAACAGTCTTGAAAATGCTTTATTGAAATGTGTGACTTATGTGCAGAAGATGTGTTTGAAAAGACCACAGCTTGAAAACTGGTTTTTGAAACGTCTCAACAACCAATTGAAAAAAAAGAAAATCCCAATGGACTGGGCTTCTAGTATCACCAGAAGCGTGGTGTGAAGTTTTCCTTTAAACCATTTTCCATCACAGAAACTAAAGAAAACAAAGCTATTATATCTGGAAATTGTTGGAGTCTGAAGTTTCAGAGGAGGAGAAGCAACAGTTTTTTAGACGTGTGGGGTGACTTCTTTTTTGGTTACATTTGGATGAACATGGACTTCACAGTTCTCGGAAGAACACCGGAGGGCGTTCAAGTCTGTATGCTTGTCGTATTGAAGAAACGGAGAAACACAGACGGGAAAGGAAAAGGATGACGGGAGAAAGAGAGGAGACTGAGAAGAGGGCTCAGAGAAGCGAGCACTGGAACAAGACATGATTAGGTTAAGTCTAGTTATAAATTTATCAGAAGCTGTGCGCACCTTTTTCAAAAGTCCTAAATTTACATTCCAAAAACTGCCCCCAACCCCCAAACCCGCTGTCCCTGCCTTGGAGCTATCATGAAAGTCTATGCACAGAAACTGGAACAGGAAATAAAAAATACCCCGGCCCCTCCAAACCCCAAAACAAACCCCAGAAAGCTGTACATGTTTTACACATAGGATTAATAATATAGGCATAGAGGTGGCATGATTCAATTAAAAGGCTTTACTTTTTATGCCAGAAAAAACCCAATAAATAAAAGGTGCTAAAGTTAGCATTAAGAATTTGGTTGTAATATATTGACAAAATCTGGGAAAGCAAACCCTCAAAGCTTCCCCGATACTGATCTGTCTCAGCAAACTATGAAGCAGATACATAAATAACGCAAAGTATGATTGAGAAGGTGAGATTTTCAAAAACAAAGACAACATAATTCAGGTTAACTTTGTTGAACAGTGAATAAATGAAATTCATCTACACCTGAATAAAACATATTTAACAATTGAAAAAATTTTAAACAACCACAGAAAGTAAAAACTTTAAACAAATACGAACAGGATTTGTTTCAGGGCACACAAGCGCCCTGCAGCAGGTCCCAACAGTAGCTGTACTGGTGTGTCTTCCACAGACGAGTTAGAGACAGGCTGAGCGCCCAAGGGCAAGATGACTAACAGGGCGACAGGACAGTCACACAGGGCGGAGCACGACACCCGGCTACGACCCCCAGATTCCACTGCAGAGCTGGCTTTGTGCGTAGGAGGCACACAAAGAAAGGTGATTCAGGCAGACATTATTCAAAAGCTACCTCGTCACGTAACTCTTTTGCCGTGTAACCATTGAATAATGTTTGGGAAAGCTTTGGGCTTTTATTTTTGTTTAAGTTTTACTCCTTGTATTTAATTTTTTAAATAACAAGGTCACTAAAACTCATGCACGCTGCAAAAAACCTCATGCAGTAGTTAAGGTAAACCATCCAAGCAGTTTTTATTCATTAATATTCATAAATACACACAGCAGCTTCATTAGAGATTTCAATTTTCCTCTTCAGTTTGAATGTGGAGTATTAGGAGAGCCTTTTGCATGTCAAGGTACAGGAAGCAGAGATCACCCCTGCACTGCTACCTACATTTACCTGCTAGAAGTAAAAATTAGTTAAGTGGAAATGATTATCATATATATTTTCTCTCTTCCTTTTGAATGTACACAATGTAACAAGAGTGACAGACCTGAAATTACAATCACCAAACAAACCCAAGATAGTTGTTGTCCACTTTCATTGGCAAATACAGCACAGAGGACATTGTCTGCGAATTGGGATGTCATCAAAGAGGAGGTGGTGGAGGCTCATTTCCTTTATTACTCTCTTTTAAATTTAGGTTTTCTAAAGCAACATCTAAAGGCATAATATCTACACAGCCCATAGCACCAAAATCTGCCATCTCCCCCCGTTCATCCTCGTCTGAGGACGAGCTCTCTTCGCGCACTAAAGTGGACAGAAGGAGCTCTTGGACAAACAGGCTGCGGTCTGCGCGCTCACTTTCCATGGACTGGCGCTCTGTTTCAGACATTTTAGGATCATTCAACCTGTGTAAGGTAAAAAGAAAGATCTTATTGGTAAAAAGTCAGTGAACAATGGCATGTTCAATTTCTACAATGTCCTACACTGTACAGGCTTCACAGGTGGCTAAATTCAGAATCTGAGACACATTATTGGAACAGCTTGCTCTAATTTATCACCTTAATTATGTTGAGAAGAATTCCCTAGACTTGTAGCAATACTATTACCCTGAGGTGCAAATCTATGCTTTAATTAGATTCAACGAGAAAAAAGACATTTAGACTTCTCAAACTCCTTCCAGAGAACTGTGGTGAAAATTTTTCTAAGGAAAACAAAATTTCTTTTTTTTTTTTTTTTGAGGAAGATTAGCCCTGAGCTAACTGCTGCCAATCCTCTCTTCCTTTTTTTTTTCCCTGAGGAAGACTGGCCCTGAGCTAACATCCATGCCTATCTTCCTCTACTTTATATGTGGGATGCCTACCACAGCATGGCATGCCAAGCGGTGCCATGTCCGCACCTGGGATCCGAACCGGCGAACCCCGGGCCACCAAGGTGGAACGTGTGCACTTAACCACTGCGCACTGGGCCGGACCCGGAAAACAAAATTTCTAACAGGTAGTATGCTTGAGGAAGTAGTGACTTCCTTAACCAGAATTTCACCTGTGGGTAGTAAAGAGGAAAGTAGCAACCCCAGTCACAAAAACACTGTAGTGACTAGAATATTCGACTGAAAGAAATCCTAAAAGTTCCCTTGACTTTTCTCTAAAGTTCCCTTCCTTTCCATCTAATTCTTCCTGAAATGAAGATATGTCCAGAAGCCCAAAAAGGCAAGAACACACACACACACACACACACTCACTCCTACATTTCCCCTACCAAGGACTGTGTGGCGGGGCCAGCGTGAGGTTAACGGCGTGGCATGCTCCTCTGACACATGCGCTTGTAAGATCTGCACTGCGTTGGGGAAGTTGGTTCATCTGCATGGAGACTGGCAGTTGTTAAGAGTCGAATTCTTGTTACTAACTTGTTAAAGGACTTAAGCAAACTTCTGCTTAGTTTCAGTTTTGATTTTATTTCTCTATATTTTTAGTGGTAAAGAAAGGGAAACTAGCTGGCACACGGGAGTCAGGAAAAGTAACAAAACAGGGAGAAGATGGTGACAGTGAAAGGAGGCCCAGCAGGCATGGACGCCAGGTGCTTCCCCCAGAGAACCAGGTGCACATAGAGCCCACGATCCTCGACCAACCGGCACCTGCTCTGCTGCCCTGTCTGTGCTGGAGGCCCAGGGGTATCCCGAAGCAACAAGGAGGATACGTCCTGAGCACTTACTAGGGCCAGGCTCTGTTCTAAGTGCTTTCAACTCGTATGAGTTAGGTCCTATTATTATCAATATCTTACAGGAAGAGAAAACGGAAGCAGAGGTTAAGTAACATGTTCAAAATCCCATAGCTATCAAGTTCAAAATCACTGAATGACTAGATCTATGGCTCAGAAAACAAATTAAAAAGATCTAAACTTCAGAACTTAAAGAAAGCAAAAGAATCTGGAAGGTAATTACAAAAAGCCATTAAATCCGCATTGAAAGGAAATGACTGATGACACGGTGAAAAGCAAATGAAGAATATCACAAGAGAGTATCTACTGGAATAGGAGACTGAGCAATAGGCTACACATTCTCAATCAAAACTATAAAGGTGTGAAGAACTGCAAGGCACTCCACGCCCTTAGCTTTGAAAAAGACTCTGGTAAAGAAAAAAACCTAAGGTCAAACCTATTCTAGAAAGATAAAGGATGTACGGAAGACAAGATGGGAAGCAGGCAAACTAGAAACATACGGGCTGAGATCCCTGACCCCTTGGAGAGCATGTAATTCCAATATTACTGTTTTTAGGAAAGAAATGAGAACATGAGAAAATGTTCCATTCCTGAGGGGTTGATAAAATCTGGTTAGACTTCCTGATGGGTCAAATTTCATTTGGGATCTAGAAGTAACTGCAAAGTTTGTAAGGATCTTCAAATTGGGGTTAGCAAAACTAGCTGGCTCCACTACCAAAAGACTGGAATCTGGCAGAGGTGCTGAAACAATCACTTTTTTAAAGGTTAACCATTTTGGACTCCAAAGAAACTGCGTGCCCATCCTCCATGTTCCAGGGCAACATGGATATGGCTAGGAACCACTCCTGGTCAGAGACCAAAGGGAAGCCTCAAGCCCTATGCACAGCCCATAACAGCAGTGAGACCAGAGCCCAGGATTTCCCCGGGAAACACCGCAGCCGCTCTCCTTGCCTTGAAGATTCACAACGCACTTTAATATATTTAAAGTTCTGAAAAGCCCAAGAATCAATTGTTTATTTTTGTTATTAGTTTTACCCAAACTTACTCATTAGGGCAGAAACTGAATATATAAAGTTCAGGGAATATTTTTGGGGAAATATTGCCTTAGGTAAATCATATGAGTCTGGAGCAAATGATAGAATGAAAGTTGTGGAAAGTGGTCGGCAAATTGTGAGGGACTATATGATGTATAATGTGAGATGACAGAAGGGGTCCTTCAAGAATCAGAGAACCCTTCAAGACAAGCAGAAGCCAAGGAAAGCACTCAGAGGCTACCCATGCCATGCCCTGTGAGCTGGGTGTCTAGTGTAGAATAACCAGAGAAAAATCCCAGATCAAGCCCACTGAGTTTGGGGGGGAGGGGGGACAGGGCAGGGTGGGAGGATATCTTTTCCAAAGGGCAGTGGCAGGACATTCAATCCACCCACAGGTCGGTGAACTCTCGGTGGACACACACTGGCAGTCTCCTTTTGAGGCAGGAACCTAGACCCAGCAAGTCCTAGGCCTGCTGTTGGTCGGCCCGTGACAGCAGGGTGGATCCACCCTCGGCTGTGCGATTTCTTATGCTGAAGCAACATTTTCTGGTAATAACCAGCACAGTTACTGACTTTGCAGAGATAATCCAAAGGTAATTCCCTACTTGAAACTTCCTCCTTAGATCCGTAACAAATGATAATAACGGGTACCATCAATTGGGCCTTTACCATATGTCAGATACTGAGCCAGACCATACACACAGTAGTAATTCCATTTAATCCTCAAAATAATTCTGTCACGAGGCAAGATTCAAAGGATAGTGATGATACAATTGGGGTTTGGAGAAGTGAAGTCACTTGCCTAAGGTCCAAACTAGTAAGTGGCAAAGCTGGGATTCTAGACAGGGACCCTGTCTGCAGGGGTTCCCTAACATTTTTTATCCTGCATTCACAATACGTTATTTACAATTACACATATGTACCACTGTACTAACAGAGATATTCAAAAGTATGAGATAAAAGAAATATATACAGAAATGAAAATATTTTTTTCAAACATCCAGTTGCTATACACACTGCATTGTGGAAATAACTGACATAGTACACTAATTTTCTTCTTCTGCCTATGAGGTTCTGGCAGAGGAATATATTCAATTGTTAACAGCAGTTTCAGAAGCAAATAAGCTCTACTCCATCCAGCAGAGCTTTTTCCTGTGTGTACTGAATATTATTCAGACCATGGTAAACTATTTTTAAAAATAGTTACTTTTGTGTGCCAACCGTAAGAATTTAAATCCTGCTTCTTCAGAAATTCTTAGAGAAACCACCACTGCATTATGAAAATCCTTTCTTATACCTTTTATATTTCACAGCAGACTGAAATTGGCAATGAAAAGAAAACAATGTTAATTATGATAATAAATGTATCTAATATGACCCATATATGTAACGATATGGTGTTTACGTTTTATGGGGAAGAGAAACTCATATCAGATGATGATATATACCGTTAGAACAAGACCACTAGCATTCCCACTTTATCTAAAATAACTTTTTTAGATAACTAAATAACTAAAATAGTCTATTTCGTTATTTAAACTATTTATTTAAACCACTTAGTTTAAATAACTAAAATAGTTTACCTAAAATAACTATTATTTTTCCTATTCCTCGGGAAATACTGAATATGCAGTTTTGATTAGAGATATGTGAGTTTTAACAGTTTGATCAAAGGCAGAGACTTTAAGAACAGAGAAGCACAAAAGAGAAAAGATCATTTCAAACTGCACAGTGCTAATAAAACATTACTTCTCAAACAAAAATTGTATTAATATATGCACTACCTTGTTAAAAGGAACTGGGAATTCTGGATAGTCTGCTGACTGCTCTCTGTGTTAGCTGTGTTTGTTGTTGCTGTGGACTGTGTGATTGTAGTGGTGACACTGCTTGTGTTAGTACGCCGGGTGGTGTTGCGCGCGGTCTCCAGTTGTTGCCGTGCCGCCTGGGCGTGCTGCCGTTCGAGCTGCAGCTGCATCTGCAGTTGTTGTAACTGAGAAGCGGAAGGGCCAGAAGAATTAAGCTGTCCTCCTGCAGAACGTCTCACTCCCGATAACTGAGATAAAAGCTCTGCCAATGGAAAGGAAGACGATTAATGTCGACAAAGTACCGAGCAAGAGAAAACGCTACAGATCACTGTTTTACTGGAGGAACATCGAAAAGGATCAACAGGCTGGTACTCCTGACAACACAGAGTCTCAGCTTGGAGCTCACTATGTTTTACAATGCCTCCTGGAGGTAAGCACTGTTGTGTATAGGGAATGCAAGTATATATGAAAGTTAACCCACATACTATTATTTTTGTTTTAAGCAAAACATAATAGAGATTGTTTTTTAAATTATTTGCTTAATGGACTACTTTAGTTATATTTTCTCTTAGTATTTTAGGAGATTAAAGTGGTTCATCTACTGGTCCAATCATCATATAAGCCCTCTCAACATGAGCTCCACGAAACCAGGGATCAAGTCTACTGTTGACAGCATACCCAGCTCTTCGGACAGAACCTGACAAGAAGCAGGCACTCAAACACTGGCTGGCTGACTGAAGGAATGATTAGAATGCAACCTAAGAGACCCAGATCACGTCTAACTGTGACCCTCGCACATTCGCCTCTGCCGTCTCTCTCTGGTGCTTGCTGGTCCTGTCGTTTGAAAGTACCACTGGCGACACCCAGTAAGGCTGACTGGCTCCACACTGTACAGCCTATTTAGTGGCTTGTTCCCATCCAGACGCTCTTGTTTCAATAAGGCCGTACTCATCAAGAGCAATGTGGACCTGTGTCGCTGCCTTCTCATCAGGGAGGGGCAAATGCTGCTCACCATTAAAACTCATTGACAAGGTATGTTTCTGTTTTCTTGCTCCCTGTTGCTTTATTGCAGGGGTTCTTAGACCATTCTGTCATATAGTCAATCACTAAATAAACTAATTTTCAGTGACAGAGAAAATAGAAGTAATGGAGAAAATTCCTCAATTTTGAATTTTGCTCCTAGAAATTACTTTAACTTTTAGAGCCACAGGAAAATATTCCCTTTGGATGAAGAATATTTTTTTAAATCAGCAAAACTCCATTTATTGGGCTTATTACACATCCAAATGTCCAAAGCACATTTGGAATTATGATTTCACACTGTCTCTCTCACATTTTAAAGAACACTTTATGAGTAGAAGCACTCCTAGTTTCTATCACAAGATTCACACTCAGCAGTGTTCCAGGGTGCTTTGCAAGGCGCACTACGGCTTCCAGGGACACGTTCCACCACGTGCACACGTTTCAGAACTTGTACAGGCTCTGCAGAGCCTTACCGCCTGTGTGCGCTTGGTGTGTCTCTCAGATTCTCAGGCTATGGTGATTTTTGACAATTTGTTTTGACTCCCGACCCTTGTGCTCTGCTGCCAATTTCCCAGGTTGGCCACGCATTAGACCCAATGACTCAGTTACGAACTACATGTTCAGATGTTGTTGTTTTTTAGTAGGATTTTCCAAGCTATTAAAACATGTACTTATCAGTATGTTCCACAGCAATTTAGTTCAAAAATCAAAGCAAGGACAGAGAAATTCCTGCTTTACTTTCTTCCACAAGAAGAGCTTAATTCTTTAGTCATCAATTAATTTTCTTATCTGTGTACTTATAGAGGTTGAATCATGGAATTGTGGGAGTCTTTCAATACTGAAATCTTTTATGATTGTCTGGGGTTTCATCGGAGGCCACAAATAGAACACAAAGCCATTTATTATTATCTTACGCCTCTAAGTACCTAAAGAAACGCCAGAATAATATGAACTACTTTATGTTGTCTAGTTTTAAATATTTTATACTTATAAAATATTTGGGAACTTTGTGAAGGACAGAGGAGCATGATAAGAGACTAAGAACACAAACCCCGCAAAAACATTTTAAAGGAGCCGCCCTCCCCTGCCATTTCCTGTCTTAACGTGAAACTAACTCACCAGCTATAGGATCCATGGCTTCCCTATTGCTTGGAGAATATGAACTCTGAGAAGAAGAAAGTCCACCAGTAGAACTGCTAGTAAAGTGCATGTTTGATCTACGAGCACGAGGACCTCCTAATCCCCGGCCAGGGTGAAACATTCTACGTACATGTCGAACGCCACTCGATTCATCATAACTCCAAAGTTAAGAAAAGGACCCGAGTATTTCACAGCAAGAAAAAAGACACTTGAGCCCTGGCTACATAGACATGCAGATTTTCTAAATTTTCACCATTTTAGAACAGCATATGTAATTTAGAATGCAAATATCATGACCATGATGGCTATTAACTCTAAAAAAGACATTTAAATATAAAGCAATGTGTGAAAGCGTGTATATATTATATGTGTGTGTTTTCAAAGGGAAAAACAGTTTCTCCAGGGAGGAAGAGATGTCTTCCTGGGCTCCCTCCACACTAACCAGTGTAAGTGTGCCAGGCGACGTAGAAGGAGGTGCCTGGTCAGAGACCTGGGTGAGATAGTCCCTTACCCTAATCCCAGCACTGGATTTCCTAAATGTTTATATCTCAGGAACCACAATTAATATGCATCATTTTTTTTTATCTGGGGAGAAGTGTGCTAATATATAAGGTAACCAAATCTCAATTATCATATATAATGAGAAAGCAACAGTTCAGATAATTTAAATTCAGGAGTAAAAGACTCCTTTTGGCTATTTTAATCTCTGTCTTCAAGTTCTTTTTCAATGCTGCTGCTAAGCAGAAAACTAGATTTAAATGTCTTATGGAAGTGGACACATAGAATAACATCGCATTTATTAAGAAGTCAAACTTGCAGCAGCCTCAACCATCTTACACGGCTGAGTGCGAGTCAGACTGAAGAAGAGCCCAAGCAGCAAACAGCAGCCAAAACTCATGAAGACAGCCTTGTATGCCCACACAGGCAAAACGTGTGTGTGGGAAAAGCCAGATATTGTGGGAAAAGAGACTATTCTTTCAAAGCAGCAAAAAGAACAGCTATATAAGATTAATTTTTTTGCTGGCTTCCCAGTGTTTTAGCAGATGGTCATTTAGGGACAGAGTGAGCAGCTCCATGGAGCCCTCAGGCGCCACCATAACGCGCATTGTTTCACTGTGGTTCTCTCGATGATGGCCTGGGCTCTACAGAAAGTGATGTTATGATCATTATATTTTGTTTTTAAAAAGTAGCTGGGTGTAAAGTACACTTTAGGAAGAGTTCCATCAAAATAGCAAAAAAAAAAGTTCTGGCACTTAAGAGGCTGGGAGAAACCACTCCCTCGTGTCAAACACATAAAGTCGCCACATAGTAGCACTTGAAGAACCTGAAAAATTAGTATGTTTTCAGGATAACTGCTATGCCAACATTTTGTTTTCTAGAACTTAATGGTAATACTCGCTAGGAATCTAGAATGTAACATACCCTTTCTCTTATTATTACATTTTGCATAATTTCATGTCTTGCTAACCAGAAACTCTTACAAACATCTCACAAAAACGGATGTAGATGATGTGGGACATTCTATTGAATGGATACCAATTTCACTAGAGGCCCTTGAACTCGCTGAAAAAGTTCAGGATATAAGCTTGGTTTTAAATTTTTTGCTTAGCTTCTCCATGAAGATGGAGAGAAGCATGGATCAAGCATAACCCTTCTGGGTATCGTTAGAGGATTCTTTTATACAAAATGCAAAGTGACTTCAAAGGCTTAAGTGTTCTTGGTCCATTTGGGTTTTCTTATTCTCCAAAAAAAATTCACGGCTTTCTTTATTTTGCTTTCAGTGTCGCCTGCACTGAGGAGAGAGGAAGAGTAAGCAGTCTCCTCAGCTCACTGACACTCATTTCTTAGGTTGGTTCCCTATCTTTATCTTTCCATTAGTTTCCACTTAGCTTCCCCTAACTGTACAGGGCCATATTTCCAATTAGAAAAATAGGAACTGTGAGCAAGGGATGGGAGCCGTAGGATAAGAAAACCACCAAACCAGTTTCTTCGTCAATAGGTTGAATTATGATTGCCAGGAGGCAATCAAAAGAATCAGAAGAAAATCTGGCAGACAGAAAAGTTTTGATAAGCTCTTGAATTACTTCAACCTGCAATGAAACTGAAACCTTTACACAAGAACAAAACCCTAAGTTAATAGGTGACAGTTTTAGAAAACAATTCATAACCTGAAACCAGAAACACTGAGTTTACAGAATTAATTGCTCTGGTGGGCCAGTAATTTCCTGGAGATTACAAGGAACACTGCTAGGAACTGTTGGTAGATAGGCTTAGGACAGGAATTTAGAGCTGGACCTCACGCTGTCCGTCTCAGAGACTGGGCAGGAAACAGGTCTCTCTGGAGAAGGTCAAGGGAAAGGAGCCCCAAGATGCATACCTGCCCACCATCCCGGCACATCCTACCCACAACAGGGTAAGGCAATAGAGAAAGGGAGAGGAAGCAAATAAATCCTCCTTATATTTAATTAACTAGACTTTAATTTGCGTTAGCACTTTTCCTCTTCTGTATGAAAACACCATCCTGAAGACTTACAATCTGGTCAGATTATCTTTAAAATATCTGATTGAAGGGGTCGGCCCCGTGGCTGAGTGGTTAAGTTCATGTGCTCCGCTGTGGCCGCCCAGGGTTTAGCTGGTTCGGATCCTGGGCGCAGACATGGTACTGCTCATCAGGCCATGCTGAGGCGGCGTCCCATATGCCACAACTAGAAGGACCCATGACTAAAAATATACAACTATGTACCAGGGGGGCTTTGGGGAGAAAAAGGAAAAATAAAATCTTAAAAAAAAAAATCGGATTGTAATGAACTAAAGATCATGCACAAGTCAACTTTCACTTAAAGAGTATGGTTCACATAACAGTCAAAGTCTATAAAAAGAGAAATAAGAAACTACACCTCAACACTGAGTCACTTTTAGAGAAAGGTCAAATAAATTCAAATAATTTGGAGATTAGTTTTTCTCTTTGGGGATATCATGCTTAAAAATAATCAAAACGACAAACGTTATAAACAACTCTTTCCCTTGTTGCCTCTTAAAAGGATATTAAGTCTCTAGGGGCTCTGTGTTCAAGTGTAAGGTGAGCTGCAAAGTCGTCCGTGACATGATTAGGATCGCCTCCAGGTAATGCCGCACATATTGGACAAATCTGAAAAGAAAGTAAAGAAAGCAGAGTTAATAGGTGAACAGCGAACAAAGATTTTTCTGGATGAGTATTTTACTATAAATTTTACTATTACCAGGTTTTAACCAGGCAAAAACAAGGTAGATCCTGAATTAGTGAAAAGTCCTGGAGGCCTGAATAAGAACCACAGCACATCAATGCTGTTACCACTAAAAGAGACACTCTCTCAGGTCAGACACAGCAGTTCCAGACAGACAGGTCAAACTTGAGCTCTGGCAAAACTCAGAAAGTCAGCCTGGCTGACTCGTTAGCATGGTCTAGCAAAACAGTTTCCATAAAAAAATTTTTAAACGTGCTATTTATATTTAGTACACATTCATATCTAAGTCCAGTCTTGAATGAATGAGACATAAGGTTCCCGGAGTAAGCCAGACCTGAGGGCCAGTCTCCGAATACGACAGCAGAGCTCTTAGTAAAATGCAACTGCACAAACTTACATACTTTGAATGTGACACCATAAGACAGATAATGATTACTGATAACATGCAAATGTGCTCTATCAATTCATGGATGGGACTTCTAAGGGGAAGGCAGGGAGAGTGGGAGTCCATTTTTAGAACCTTATTTCCCAGAAGGATAGGAAGTGGGACGGAAGCTTGTGATCAGGTCAAGGCCAAAGAGCGGAAGGCCAATTTCCCTGTGGGCTTTAGGGCAAGGGATAGAAGGAAAAAGTAGGAATAAAACAGTGTGTACGCAAGCAGAGCTCAGAGGGCGCTTGAGTTGGGAATGTGGTTTCTGAAACAGTTGTTTCAACAGAAGTGGTGAAATAGGGGGCAAGAGAGGGGAAGGATAGAAAGAATGAGGAACTTCCAGAGAAAAGGTCCATTCTCTTCCAGAAACTCAAACGGGCAGAGATGGTCTAAGAGTGGTAGCCAAGCCTTGAAGTACGAAGAATTTCAGTCTTAAAGAACAGAGCTAAGAGAAACAGTGTGATGCACAGGAGCACAACCAAAGGGAGCCCCAGGAAATGTCCAGGTAGTTTTAGGCTTGTTCCTCTCTGGGGATGAGAGAGTTGAGGACAGCATATGTGATTCGCCTTACCAAGACATGTGCCATTATCTAAATTCTTTAACCTGGAGTAAAATTCGGGCAGTCAGTTGACCTTTTTGCCTGCTTACAGCAGAGTGGGAGAAGAGAGTGGCACTGAGACAAGGAGGCAGGGGAAAGGCGAGACTTAGCAGGACAATGCTGGGGTAGTAAGGGGGAAGACAAACTCCTCTTATTCCTAGAGCCTCAGCAAACACAACTCCCATCTTCTAATGACTAGAGAGCAGAAGTCCCCTGGAGTTTGATTTGATACCAGTTCCTTATATGCCCAGTCAGCTCGTCTGATTATCTGCCTCAGGACTCTGAGAAATGCTCAAAAAACCCTAAAGATGCCCATAAGAAATAACATTTAAGCATGACAGTGTGCAAAAGAACTAGGGAGGCCACAGCAGAATGAGCTCATGAGGCAAATGAGAGAAAGTAGTAGATAGACATGCATGTGCCTTTCTTAGAAGATGTAAGAAGGGTGGTCAGACATTTTTTTCTGTTAGAGAGAAAAGCAATGGTACCCGTTCACAAGTTTACAGATTATCAACTCTCTCTTTCCTAGGAATTTGTAGCATTCCTGTGCTGTGACATTGCATGGCAGTGTCTGATACACCTATTTTACTTTTTGTGTGTTTCTGTCTTGCCTACCTAGATTAACTCTTTGAGAAATGCAGGACAGTGTGATTTATTTCTTGTTTGGCAACCAGACTTGCTTGTTTGGTGACCAGACTTGCTTAAAACAAAAAGACCAACAAGGTTTGGAGAAGCAGAAACTAACTCCAGTTATTTAAAAATAAAGCCAGCTTAGATATTTTGGAGAGTCTCCATTTTGTAACAATGAACAGGTGCTGGACTATGTACAGTATTATTACAATATCATAAGACTGCATGTATAAGATTTTTAGATGCATGAGAAACATTTCCCTTTTGAGAATATCTGTCCAAAAGCTGTGATTTCTCTACATCGTCTTCTACTTTTACTTTTTATTGACACCAAATGTTTGATGCATTTCTCTGGCAACCATGTTCTTATACAGGGCAGCACAACTTCTTCGTAATTTCTACCCCCTTTTTTCCCCACACTCACCCACAGAATCATTATGATTAGGTTCTTCCTGTTTCTAAAGAACTACAGAATCACTCAAACCCTACCCTCCTTCCCTTCCCAAACGACAGCCTCGGTGGCATGATGCTGGAAAAAGTAATGACATTTCTCTGTACAGGTGCCAAAAGGTTTCTTTATTGTCTACCAAACCAAGTGGACAAAGATTCTGGTTTTAAAGGTTCTCTATTATCCGGCATACTCAGCTGGCTGATTCAATTTTATTTTCTACTATCTCCCACAACAATCAATACCTTCCCATTCCCTCTACTAGGTTCTTTCTCAACACTGTGTCTTGGTTCATGTTACTCTTCCCTCTGAATAATGCCATTCTCTTCCCATTCTGTCCACTTTTTGAAATCATACCCAGTTTTCAAGGTCTACCTCAAATCACAAAGCCCTCCCTGACTGCTTCCAGCATTCTTCTCCAATTGCGTCAAATGAGCTAGTCTGGTCTTTAGACGTGCTATACAGACTATGTGGGTAGAAGGCATGTTTTAAATTTGTTATCATACTGACAGCCATTGTGCCTTACTCCAAGAATCTGACAACTTCAGGAAGCAATACCTCGCACGTCACATGTTAAATGTAATGTTCTTGGTTAAACTTGGAGAGATACATTCAGAAGTTATGAATATTGGTCTCATGAAAGACATGTTTCCCTTTCCAAGCTGTCCTTAATAACTGACCAAGGAATGATCTAGAACAGCATTTCTTCTGACGCTACCCTTCCCAGGGCAATACTACATGCATTATATTTTAATCCTTATACTTAAAAAAAAAAAAAAGACATTCTATGGAGCTAACGACTACTAATGCTAATTGACAACTTTAGGTTTTTGGATGACATGCCCAATTAAAGTAGTTTATCTTAGGGCCTGGCCCTGTGGCCGAGTGGTTAAGTTTGTGCGCTCCACTGCAGGCGGCCCAGTGTTTTGTTGGTTTGAATCCTGGGCACGGACATGGCACTGCTCATCAAACCACGCTGAGGCAGCGTCCCACATACCGCAACTAGAAGGACCCACAACGAATATACAACTATGTACTGGGGGGCTTTGGGGAGAAAAAGGAAAAAAATAAAATCTTCAAAAAAAAAAAAGCAGTTTATCTTATAAAACCTGCAGATATAACACTGCATATTAGAGTTTTGCTTTGAGTACATACATATAGCACTAGTGGAAAATCTATGTTGCATGGTCAATACACTCCTTTGGGCCTTCTAGAACCATCTAAATTGTAGTTACTTGCACCTTAGCCAACCATTTTGCCAAGATATAGGTCTTTTCAAGATTTGAGCGAGCACACTATTCAACTCAATTACAATCTAAATTTCTGTTGTTGCAGTGAAATCTTGAAATTATAATTAAGTATGAGTTACTTCATATTGAATTTACATTTATCCCCAGTTCCATTCTCCCCATCTTAATGCTTGGGTTGGAACTGTCACCTGCTTCTAAAGATCAGCATTTAGAATGTCAGAGAGTTTTTGTTATATACAAAAAGTTTTAATTTTCCCTACATTTTTATACACGATTTAAAAGTTCTAAATAGTTGAGTTTGGGTTTTAAACATGTTTCTTGGACAGAAATTTAAATTACATATGTACACCGATGTACTGGGAATTCAGAAACCTGAAAAACTACAACTGAGCCACAAAGAAAAATAACTCCAAAGGAGTCAGAGCTCTCCTATTCCCCTATCCCATCCACAGTGCAGTCCAGATACAAGCACTTATGCTCACCTGGAAGAAAACTCCCGATGGAATCTCTACTTTTTCTATCTCCCTGGGATAAGCTATATATTTTACTTGTAGACTTCAGAAAGAAAAGAAAATGGGAAGCTCTTATTGCTTAATGGTGTCAATAAGAACCTGAAAGCTGCAGAGGGAAGAGGCAGGGAGGCAGTGCCCAAAAGCCAGCGACAATTTTAGTAAAGAATCAGGAATGAACTCGACCTAAACTAGTGGGTTTATGTTGTTTATGAAGAGTTTAAATTAGAGTCTGGCGATGACAAAAACTTTCGTATGTTTCTCTTCTCAAGGGTATAGCCAGTTTAAGTGAGGCCAAGTTTGGAAGAGCTTCCTAGAAAAAATGACATCATCTATGAATAACGAGGTGGACATCTTCAAATAATTTTCTTAACCAGTTTTTAAAAAAATCTGAGGGGCAGGGCAGGAAAAGAAAGGGTGTTAGGAGGACAAGAGACTAGGCTGAAAAGTGCTTGAAGAACTTCTGAGCTACCTTATAATTCGCCAGCAGTTGCCAGAGAGCTCCCATCTTTAATTTATACCACCCTCCCTACAAATCTTCCTGCAAACACTGCAAAACACTTCTATGCGCTGACTTGAAATTAGCTGTCTGGACACTGAACTGGATAAATAAGTACTTCACAGGACAAAGAAGAAACCAGATCAGTGGCCAGAGAAGAAAAAAATTCAAACCGAATGGCTCTAACACCTGCTCCTATCTTACCACCTAGCGTTCTCCCCATTCTGAAAACGGCCTGTTCACCTTCCCTGGTGGGATTTTAATTCAACACAGAGGCAAGTAAAGAGCGATGAAAACCCTACCCAGAGATAACAACATACTCTCCAATAGCAGGCACGGACACCTTCCTGGAAAAGCTACTATGATCTGATTTTTCACAATAGTTGAAGTGATTCCCCTCTTGGTTTTCATACCATCTTAAGGAGCTAATTTATAGAAATATCTTAAAAAATATCATGACACATACATATAAGATTGTCCTAGAACAAATCTGGAATTCCCAAAGTGTCTCCTATCATTTCCTTCCCTGCCATCAATTCAAAAACCTTCTGCTGGGATAC